TGTGCCGGAGCTGTCGGAAAGGGCTTTGGGGTGATGTGTGCGGGGAGGAGGCGGTGGGCTCACCTCCCTTCAGCGTGGCTCGGGAAGGAAATAATAATAGTGGTGATACCGTGAGTGTAGGCTGTGTGCAGCAGGGCTGCATGCCCCTGCTGCCTCCCAGCTCTGCCGGAGAGGAGGAGAAGGGGGGCTGCAACCAAGCCACGCTCTCTGGGCAGCCCCAGGGCATTTGTGTGCAGTGGAGCAGGCGGGTGCCTCTGCTCGGTGACCTGGAAGTGGCTCTGCAGATTCCTCTGGGGTGAGACCCCCGGCCTGGGATGGGGATGGCCGTGACGGGGCTGGGCACCGGTGCGGCACCTCTGCTGATGCAACAACACCCGTACCAATGCAACAGCTCTACCAATGTAACACCCGCACCTCGGTACTGAGGGTGCATAAAACAACTTGAAAGTCTTGGAGGACAGGGAAGGTGACATGAGCTGGATTTTTATGTTAACTAGAGTCTGCTTGCAGATTTGCGCAAGGGTCTGTTGGCACAGTGTCTGAGCACACCGGAGATGCGTGAGGCATATCCTCAGGGCCACCCGTAGGGTCTTTACCTGTGCAGAGAGGGGCTTTCAGCCTGGTGTGGGTGTCCTGACTGAGCTGTAGCTGATCTGAGCCTGTTCTACACCAGCTGCCCCTCAGCAAGGTCGGTCAGTGCCTTCCCACCACCCCATCTGCTCCGGCGGGATTGGGGTCAGGCTGCGGGGGCACCCTGAAGCCCTGGCAGCGGGCGGCGGCGGTGCCGATGGGATGCTGCCGCCTCCACCTAAGGCTGTGTGATGGAAACGTGAATCTTGGACAGGTCTGGGAGCGAGGAGGGGATCACGGGGCGAGCATTCGGGCTGCATCCACGCAGCGCCTGGCTGGGTCTGGAGCAGGGCTGTGGTGCACAGATGGAAGAGTAATTAAGAATAATAAAAGGAAAGAGACTTGGATTCGCTACAGTCTCAGCACATTAATTGTGCTTTGGGGCCCAAATCATAATGGAGTCCTGCTAGAGGGAATCTAGAAGAGAAACCAAACGTCTTGCTCTGTCCAAAGCTGACCATTTAAGAGACCCTTGCCTTCATCTGCTGCCAGGTATTACTTCCAGAGTCTCCCATCTGCCAAAACCCAAGTTCTCATTTGAAATATTTTTAGGGAAGGAAGAAAAACTACGGTGACGCTCTGAATGCTAGCGGTGGGGAGGCAGAGTGTGGTGCACTGGGGACAGCACGTGGCACTGCTTGCTGCTGGAGGTGGAAACATGGGGTTGCTGGGGTTCTCCTCCCCACAGAGGTGTCTGTCCCAGTTGGCTGGCCTGTGTCATTGGGCTGGGACTTGGCATTTCGCTGGTCTCCTGCCCAAGGACTGGGGTGAGTTGTGCCAGCAAGCAGAGGTCCTCCCTGTGCTTCCATGCAGGCTGAGCATCTCTTCTCAATTGACAAGCAATTACATGGTTAATGGTATCAATGTTAAATCCTCATCACTCAGCAGCCTGAGGCTTAATGCTTCATTAAGGCAAAGGCATCTAATAGCTCTCCGGGCTGGGAGAGGCCTTTTCTTTAAGCCTGAGTAGAAGTCATCTGTCCAGAGGCTGCTTTTGCTCTCCTGATCCTACAGCCAAACTGTAAGTCCCTCCAAAATGGAAGGGGGGCAGGAAAATGCTCCCATACGCTCCGCGTTGCTGGGGCTGGCCGGATCAAGCCTTGCTGATGCGACGGAGCTGCACGTTGCAAATGTGGCGTGTGGAGATCACGGCCGTCGTTTGAGACCTGCCATTTCCTATTCCCCTGGGTATCCCCAGCTCCCTGCCTGTCTTCACTCGTCATTTTATAGCTCTGCCTCGTGCTACCGCCCTGCGCCCACCTCTCCCCGAGCTCAGGGCTGCCTCTCGCCTCTCCCTGCAGCCCACTGCTGTGCCTGTGTGTTTAACCTTCTCTTCTGCATTACCATGCATTTATTGATGCTGAATTTCATCCGCCGTTGAGGATCGGTGGTGCCTCCGCTGCTCTTCCGCAAGCGCAGCAGCAAGTATCACAGACGCTTTGGGCTTTCGTCTCGCTGCTCGCCAGGTGCCTCCCGGATTGCGTGTCTCTGCTGGAGTGGTGCTGGCCTCGGGCCTGATCCTGTGGCTTTCTGCTGGTAAATCTTCCACTGTGAAAGCAAGAAACAGCGGGAGGATCAGCTCTCCATCTCTGAGCTTTGCAGTGAAGTGCAACGGAGGAGCCTGCAGTGCCGCCGCCGCAGCACCCTGCCCATGGGTCGGTGGGGACACCCCGGCTGCAGACCCCCGCCTGCCTCCGGACCTGCTTCTCAGCAACACGTCAGTCTGTCCTACGTGTTTATATAAAACTTGCCAGAAGTTGTACTCTTTTAGCCATTTGGATGGGATTTTGACTTTTGGAAGCCTGGCTGGCTGTGTGGAGCATCTTGCTTTGCTTTGGTTTGGCCCATTTTGGATCTATATGGAGCGTGGCAGCGTGTGTCCTTGTTTCAAGAGGCTGCACCGGAGACAATCACCATGGTTTTTGCAAGTGTTTTACCCTTTTAGCTGCCCCTTTTTATGTTCCCTCAAGTAGCTGCTTCATTTTTTTTCATGCAGTTCCCTTTCAAAGCTACTTTCTCCCCTCATCATTATTATGATCAGAACAAGAAGAGGCTTCTTGAACAAAGTCCTGTGTGCGGCGCGGGAGGAAGGATGCTCAGCTGTGTCCCCTTCTCCGTCCCTGTGACTCCAGCTGCCATTCCTCTGTCCTGTTTGGACCTTTAATATTTTTGTCGTATCCGAATGCAACGTCTTTGTAGTTATTTTGGAGGAACTGCTGTCTCCCGTTACTGCTGTGTGCTCTACCTTTGCAGGATCTCCTAGTTCCCCACACTCGAGCCATACTTACTCTGTAGATCGTTTTGATATAATTATTACCTTACAAATAAGACCTTATGAGCTCTCGCAGAAGCTGGTTTTTACAGACTGCTGTGTTTTCCCCTGTCCCGCTGTGTTGCAGCATGAATGGGTGAAGTCTGTTCGAGATAGAGCAACCCATGGCATGGTGCTGGGAAGCTGTTCATGGAACTGCTTCAGGGCCATGAGCTGGGACGTATCGGCTTATTTCATCCCAAAACCAGTGCCTTTGGCCTGGTAGAACTGGGCTTCTGTGCCTTCTGCCGGAGTTAGCTCCCTGAGGTGTTTTTATGCGGAGTTTTTGCTCAGGCCCCTGACTCCGGTTCACGTTGGGAAGAGCTTGTGCAGGCTGTAGGGGGATGTTTCTCCGGTTTCCCAGGCGTTTGCATCGGGATTTGTGCTGACAGTGCTCCTGTCAAAACGCCTGCCAGCGAATCCCAGATGCGTGGATGTACGGCTCCGGCCAGGGAGCTGCTGGCAGGCAGAACCCCGTCGCGGGAGAGGCGATAGCTCAGCAAACATCCCGATGACTTTCTGATTAGTAAAACATTTGCTAGTGTTTCACACGAGAGCCTTGATTACACAGAGGCGTTTGGACGGAGCTGGTGGACTTTGAGCTTGCATCCTGGTGTGATCCAAGCTTGTTTTCCAGCGTAGCCCAGCATCGAGTCCTCATCGAGGCACCCGAGGGTCCTGCGGCTGGAAAGGAAGCACAGAAGAAAAAAGAAAGACCTTGCTCCGTAACCCAGCCTCTTCCCATCACCTCCTCGCCGACACCCAGCGGGGTCTGATGGATTCGTCCCCACTGACCATCAGTCACCCGCCCTCCCCAAGCCCGAGTTTTTGCGGGGCGGAGGCAGGAATTGGGCTGCACAGGCAACCTGAGACCCCGGGGCTGAGTTTTGGCATTGAGGCTCGGGCTAGGTGTTGGCTGTACTGTGCTGGCTGAATCCTGCTTTGCTTCACTGCCTTGTCTCTGTAAAATTATCCCCGTAGCTTCGTGATTCTCCATTGCATCGCCTTTCCTAAGCCCTGCTCGTGCCGTATGCCGTCGCCGTGCTCCTCCCAGGTTTTGTTGCTTCCCTGAGTGAATAAATCCCCGTGCCTGGATTTGGTGGAGCACCGGGATGGTTTGTGTTTGCCCTGGTGGATGGAGGTGCCGGCTTGAGAACCGTCCCCGGTCACCGGGGAGAGCCGGCTGCGTGCCAGAGCCGCCCAGCCCATCACCCATCTCGGCACAGCATCCACCGGGAGCTCGCTGCTGCCGGCGACGAGGGCCCTTTTGGGGCCAGAAACCAGTTTTTCGAGTATGTTTAGCAGAAGCTGCCATTTGGGTGCTTAATCCTGTAATCCTCTGGTTTGGGTTTTTTTTTTCTCTCGTGTCCCCCCCCCGCCTCGAGCTGTCCCCACCGTGGCAGAGGGTTGGCGGGCGTGTGGGTGGGGGTCCTTTCCTGCTTGGTGGCAGCGGGAGACGTGCAGCTCCCTGCGCTCCCGCAGGATCTAAAGGCTTAAAAATCTGTGCCGTCTAAAGCAAAAAGTTAATGTGAATTTAACTGACTTCTGCCCTGCAATTAAAGCCACTCAACCCCATTGGGGCTCTGAGTTTACATTCTTTACTGAGGCACAGGGTGTAATTATATATGTATAATTTAAACTGTGCATATGCATGTGTTCCTATTATACACCAAGGAGCAAAGGAAATTATCCAGGAATTAAAGGGGGAGGAGGGTGCAGGCGCGGAGAATGGCTTGCTTGTGTGGATGTGGCAGCCAGGGGAAGCTGGAAGGATCACATCCTCACCACTGCAAACATCTTTTGAAGGTGCAAAAAACAACAACTCAGTGTATTAAACACTTGCGGTGGGCTCCGGACTGGGGCATGAAGAAGTGGCTGCAGCAGGGGGGTCAGGAGTGAGCTCTCGCATGAGGAGGTGCCGAGGTCCTGCTGGGTCCCTCGGGGTGCCTGGGGACAGCGGGGACCTGCCCAGCAGTGCCCGGGGAGAGCTGGGACATGTCCAGCGGTGCCCTTCCAGCGCCCAGGAACCCTGCCTAACGCTCCCTCTCTTTTCTTGCAGCCACTTCCAACGGGACGCTGGATGGCCTGGAGAACCGGGAAGGAGGGGTCTGCCAGACGCGCTCCATGAAGATTGTCATGAAAGTGGGGCAGGGTGAGTCCTTCTGCGTCCTGAGGTCTCCCATCGCCGAAATGCCCTTGTCCAGCAAAATGTTGGCCCCTGAACCAGGGCCCCTGTCCTGCTGTGGTGGGGTGTTCTGGATTCTGGGGAAACTGAGGCCAGACCAGCTGCTCCCTGGAGCCTGGGAGGCCTCCTGGGTTAGTTCAGCAGAATTTCGTTTTTAGGATCTTCTTTTCTCCCATTTCTCTTTTGCCAACACTTGCACATGTTTGGTGCATTGGGATTAAAATGGAGTAATTGTTCTGCGTAACCTCGTGGTTGGTGTCCCGGTGGGAAGCTAGCTCAGCGCGGGACCCATGAACTGTGCAAGTGCATCGGTGGGGGGGTTGGCACGGACGGTGCCCCTGTGACTTGCCGGGCACCCGAGGAGGGGTTCGAGCTGGGCAGGCATTAGTGCTTGGGCTCAGTGGGGTCCTGGCAGCTCTTAGTGGCGGTGGCCACCACGTTGTGGGGACAACCCAGGCCAATGGTGGCAGCAGGACACGGAGGGTATTGCTGACGGTGGTGCTGTGGCAGAGTGTGCTCTTCTCCTGGAAGAAGCTCCCCAACACCTCCCGTCCCGAGCTGCTGGGTGCCTCTCAGCCCCAACGATGCCCCGGGCTCGTTTTGGCCCCCGACTCGGATGCAGAGCTCCTGGTGGCTGCTTTTCATTATTGTGTTTTCACTTTGGGGCCAATATTTATAATAAACAGAAGAAGCAGTGCTGCAGCCTTGGCAGGCTCCCTTCCCTTCCCGTTCCTCCCACTGCCTGTGCAAGAAACTTGCCCCAGCCCACGCATGGGAGCTCAGAAAACATAAAAGCAGGGGGGATTAGAGTGGGAAGCTGCTTCCCACAAGCCGTGAAGCAGCTCAGCCTTGCTCTGTTGCTCTCGGCAGCTCCCATTGCTCCTGCATCTCCCTTGTGCCCCGTGGGGGGTGGCTGGCTGGGATTTTGGGGGCAGTTGCTCTTTAGGTGGGGGAGTGAGCTGCTGCCGTCCAGGTTGACTCGAGGTTTCTCACAATCCCCTCCTTCTCCTCCCCAGATCCGAACGCAGTGATCCCAGAGCAGTTGACAACAAGTCGGCCGAGCAAGGAGTCCGACAACACCGTGAAAATCATCACACAGAGCCCGCGCAGCAAGGTCCCCGCGGTGGAGGAGCCCGGCAAGCCGGGTGGGTTTTGCTGGGGACACCCCAGGAGAGGGATGGGGGGCTCTGCCTGCCGTCGGGGCCGGAGGTTGGCAGGTAGCTGCTGCCGGCAGAGCAGCTCCAAGCCGGGCTTGTTGCATGGATCCCGGGGATACCAGGCGCTCCGGAGCAGGAATACAGATGGGTTTCCCGTAAGCGTTGTGCCCGTCTCTGCCATCCCCACTGCTCGCAGCATCTCCTCGCCCCAGCCCTGCGCCTTCTGGCCGGGGACCGCTTGGCTCACGCAGACAGCCAGGCTGCGGTGCGGAGCAGCTCGGGTTTGTTTTCCCAGCTCTGGTATGTCCTGGCAGGAGCTTTGCAGGGAAGTGCTGTTTCAGCACTCTCCTCCTCCTCCTCCTCCTCCTCACTGCCCATCTGTTCCTCGCAGTACATCTGAGAGGGCTTGGAGGAGGTTAGGTCCTTGGGTTTTTGAGCTGAGCCAGTGTGAAAGCCCTTTGAAGGTGGTTTCCTGAGTTCCTGACCCTGCTGAGAGAAAAGTGAAATCAGATGAAGTAGGGAAGAGTTGCTCTTTTCTTCTCGCCCGGTATGGCCAGCCAAGCACTCTCCCTTCGGGGGGCTGGGGCTGCCCTGGCCCGGGGGTCAGGAGGAGGCGAGGGGTCAGTAATTGGATATCGTGGGGCTCCAGGTATTAGAGCCCACTTTCACCAGAGTGTCCAGGTCTGTTGTGGAGGGCAGAGTCTCCCGGGGTCTGGTCTGGTCGTTACCCGGACACGAGCAGCGCTCCGGTCCATCGGCCATGGGGGTGGAAAGGGGGAGCAGCAATGCAGGGTGGGGGAGAGGGCACGTGGTCCCTCCTCTGCAGATGTCCAGGGCTCCTGCCTGCCCTGCCCAGAGCCTGCTATGATCCAGGGCTCACCCACCCCGCAGGGTGCGATCCGTGCATGGATGGAGCATGGAACCAGCTGCGTGGAGCCCCTCACAGAGGTGGGGCGCAGGCTGCCCACCAGGCTCTGACACCCCTCTCCCCTTGCCTTGTAGGCTCTGTCAACCAGGATGGCCAGGAGACCCAAGGTCCCAGCGATGGCTTCTTGAGCTCCAAGGTGGCCGTCTTTGCGGCGATTGGTGCCGGCTGCGTCATCTTCATCCTCATCATCATCTTCCTCGTCGTCCTCCTGATCAAGATCCGCAAGCGGCACCGGAAGCACACGCAGCAGCGAGCCGCAGCCTTGTCCCTCAGCACCTTGGCCAGCCCGAAATGCAGCGGGAACGCGGGCTCCGAGCCCAGCGACATCATCATCCCCTTACGGACTACAGAGAACAACTACTGCCCGCACTACGAGAAGGTGAGCGGGGACTACGGGCACCCCGTCTACATTGTCCAGGAGATGCCCCCCCAGAGCCCAGCCAACATTTACTACAAGGTGTGAGGAGCAGCCTGGGCAAGCCGCCGATGCAGGAGCACGGGAGCGCCGAGCGCGGGGGGCAGCTGCCCCCCGGGTCTCCCCACGGGCGGTCTGGCGCCGGGAGGGAGGAAGTGAAACGAACCCCACGGCACGGCGCAGGGAGCGCCAGGGTCCGGCGCCGGAGAGCGGATGGCTCACTCGCGTGCTGATTCTCCCCTTTGTATTTAGTTTTGTAGTTCTCAGCTTTTGTAATCCCGAGACTTGAGGGTGAGCCTTCAGCATCCTCCTCTTCTTCTCCAGACTGTGGCCGGCCGGGGGGTGGGCGCTGTGCCTTTCCGTGCTCGGCTCGGGCCCCGCCATCAAACCCGGAGACTCCACCTCCCCTTTTCGTTTTGGGATTTCTCTGCGTCACCCATACGTCCTTGTGTGAATGCCCGTGCGGCCTGGCGCCGCATCAGCCGGCGCTGGGGCCC